CGCTCATTTGGCTGTATTTTCCCCTTCCCCCTCCACTTAGTTCCCGCAAATTGTGCTGTTAAGAAAGGACGCGGGGAGCCCTTCAGGTCTCAGCATCCTGGGCGCAGGTGGTGGGGAAAACTTTGAAGTGAGCTCTCCACTAACTCTAGAGCTGGCCGTGCCTCCTCCATAAGCAGCTCTTATTAAAAAAAAGACCAAGTATCCACTAGAACAAAACCAAGCAGGCCTATTTAATTAGGCCAAATGCTTGATATCCACTTCTTCATGTTAAACCACACAGTCACACAAGCCTGGGAGGTCTGATTAATTTTAATATGCACGGTCGTGACAAGCGCCTCGGGGGTAAGTGAGAGGGGAAAAAAAAAAAAATCCCACAAACCCCGCTAGCTTGACAAATAGGTTTCAGTTAAATGTTGTGTATGTTGCCCAGATTAAGATGTTACTATTCAGCAAGGGCTTGAACCTTTAATATGAGGGACAAGAGGGCTGAGAAACAGGTGGCTCGCTCTTCACTCTTGAATAAATGACATCGCCAAAAGCCGTGGCACACAAGCATACAGAGAGAGCTGGCACACTCCCTCATGTATATTTGTATATTACCAGTCTGGGTCAGAGGTTTCTCCAGCGGTGATCCAAGGACTGAAATGAAGCTGAGAAATCTAATGGCTTTTCTGAGGGAGAGGGAAATTGTTTAAAAAAAGAAAAAAAAAAAAAAAGAAAAAAAAAAAAAGAGACCAAAAAAAGGAAGGCAGACTGCAAACCAATCTAGATGGAATACACGGGGCGGGGGCAACGGGCACACCAAAATGATCTGGGGGTAAGAGTGGCAGCAAGTTTTGAAAACCCCTATTGAAATGAATCATGGCTATTGAGTCCAGCTATCTGGGGAATTAGGGGCAGACAGGAGCTCAAATAATTATTTTGCTCTTGGTGAACCACTTATACACTGCACTGTAAAAGACAGGAAAGACAGAAAGTGAGAGATCAAGCATTTTGCTTTGGCTGCTGCTTGACCAACATTATGGAGTGAACGTACCCTGGAAGGAAATTTTAATTACGGAAATCCATCAGAGAAGACTTTCAATCTAAGACAGGGAGAGGGAGAGGAACTGTATCTTCTCTCCAAAAGCAAAAGTTTCTTGAATCTCACACGACCACAATGCTTTCTTCTATATTTAAGATGATGAGCACTTCAGATGCCTTTATCAAAAGAGAAAAGAAAAATCCAAAAGCTACAAACCTTTGAGGATGTAAGCAAGAGAGAGCTGGAAGGGAATCTAAGCAAATTCTGAAAATATCCATTGAAACAAACCATGACTATCTGGCTAAACTATTAGGAAAGAAAACACTTAAAAACTGAATGTGTCAAATGAATAAACTTCACTTTCAGCAAGTAAGAGCTGGCAGGGCTTCAAACTAGGCTACCTCTGTTCTAGAGTTAAAGCACTTGTTAAAAAAGGTTTAAGCCACCCCAACATATAACGGTGCCTTCTCTTCATACAGGCCTATTTCATAAACTTTACCTTTTAATTTTTTTTTTCTTTTTTATTTTTATCAGCAGTATATGAGCACATATTTCCATATGGCAGGGTCTTTGAAAGAAGTGCATGGAAGTTTGATGCTGGCTTGCTCCACAAGAAAATACACATTTTCTGGTGACAGACTGCATAAAGGAACATTGGAGCCACAACGCACTTGAAACATCCTTCCACAGCAGCAGGAGTGCACAAACAAAGCTTAAAAGTGCTCAACTGTAAAGTATCCTTGTTAGTCCTTCAGTAGAACAGCATTACGAAGCCTCTTCAACATGTACTTTTTCAAAGAGACAGAGAAAAAGCAAATAGAAAGTCAAACCTCAACCAAATAGAGTATCCTTTGGCTTTTCCTGAATCTGTTCACTTTATTTCTTCCCATCTCATCAGATATGATTTAAAAGCAAGAGTCTGCATTTCAAAGGCCTCCCTTCTTGTGCCCATCAATGGTCTGTTTTGGAATTCATAGCTTAAGAAGAGGGAGACCTCTTGATTTCTTTACAAGATACATTGATTAAAAGTTTGATAATATTAGGAGATATTCTGGGATCTTACTTCATCTAGAGAGCCTGAATTCAATATGGTTTACTTTTATAGACTACAGAACTACTTAAACAACAGCCACTTAAATTACCACAAGAACAGGTGTTATGATTTATAATGTAAACTTAAACATCAAGCACAAATAGCCTTTGGGGGATGTTCAGAAGACAAAAATCATGCTCGAGGGGCCTTTCTCATCCTTTTCTTTCCAACAAAGTACTTACAGTATTGCAGCATACTATAATACATGAGGCCCTAGTATTCACACTGCCTGTCAAAGCCCTGTAAACATATGTATTACCTGCTTACTAAACACTCGAGATTAATTGTTCCTACTCAGAAGACCTAAGGACTAGTTGAATGGAATTTTGAAGTAGGACAAAATTAAACACTATATATACACAGTTCTTGTGTGCCCGCATTTATATATATTTATTTCTAAATATATATAATACAAGCACTTTATATATATATATATATGTATACCTGTGCACATGCATTTATATAAAATTCAAAGTATTCACTTAAATGGCCAAACAGAATTGAGTTTCAGAGGTCCTTATTATAGAAGAATGAGCCACACACATGCATGAGTGTACCCACATGTGCACATGCTCATATGCACAGTCTCTGTGGTCAGGTAGATGCCTATATCATCCCTTTCATCCAGAATTCCTACGATAACATAAAACTGTCCTCAGAAGATACAGTATGGAAGTTTTGAAGATAAACAGACAGATAGCTAACCTGTTACAAACATATACTGCCAAAATGGAAAAAGAAGATTGATTCTTAATTAAAAGTTAGGAGATGTAAAGAGCCAGTGAGTATTCTAAAAATAGGAGAGAATTTACTTGTTTGCCTATTTTTGTCCCAGAAGCCAAGCCACACGTTTAGAGGAAAGGCTACACAGATTTCAGAGATTTAATTTTCCACAAGCACGGGCCATAAATTAAAATACAGTAATCCAATCCCATTAATAGTGCAAGAAAAAGCTAAGTGGCTGCTTTGGTCTTTGCTTTCATGAACTTGTGTCAAGCTCAGTGACTTCAAAGAGATTTCCATTTCATTTCTACAAATGAAGAGAACAGACAGACAGAGAGTCTCTGCCATCCTCTGATGCCTTAAGAAAACAGAAGAAAAACATGCCTGTATCTCATTCGCCTAATGATTTCAGCTGCAAAAGGAATCCCATGGTTGGCAGACGACCCTCAGGGCAAGGGCTTGAGGTCTGTCACAGTATATAAGGCTTCTCCAAACCCACTCCATTATCTTCATTATTGTATACCAGGAATAAAAGGAGACTGACTCCTCTTCTGAACTTCAAGTTAGAAAGGACAGAATGTTTCATGTAAAATAACATTGTGTGACTTCAGTAATAGGTTTATGCCTTTGGGGGCCTAATACTAAAGCTGCATATAAGGATTTTCTGCAGAATTTGGAAGAAGAAAAATGAGCACTGTATTAGCAATGAGTAAAATTCCACAAGTTTTAGATTCACTGAAACACTCCATATCTCTGTGTCGCCATGACTCATTGTCAGTCACATACTTTCATACAGCACGAGTAAAATGGCAAGTTTAGGGGAAAAAAAAAAAAAAAAAAAAGATCATGAGGCTTTAGAGCTAAGTATAAACCCCTACAAAACCCCAAACCATACACATATGCAAGGAGGAAAAGGAAGTGATAAGCTTTTGGAAAATTCTTAGAAATGAGTAGGTAGCATGGCTTCCTATAGGCGACGTTAACCAAGCACACACATACAACAAATCAACACGGAAACCTTTTGTATGAATAGTGATGCTTCCCCTGTCAGCTCATGCATGGGTAGACATACAAGCTTACATATATGGATACATACATGTGTGCATTCGTGCAGTCTGAGCAGCAGGTTTCCTAGCACTGTAAAAATCCTCGTCCTTTACTAACAAAATTTACTAAGGACTAACTCTTACTTTCTAACAAACGCAATGTAAGAAAAACATTTACCCTACACCAGTTAAGTTTCTTAAAATCAGTCAGATCTGTTATCAATATTTTGGAATATCTCACTTGTCCTCAAAACCCGTTCAAGAAAAGAAAGGTCCTTTCCCTGACTGACACGAGGTTTGGATTGAAACCTAAAGTTGTCTACCCCGCCCTTCTCCCTGGTTTTGAAGAAACAGGCCACTTGAAAGAATGCTTCAAAAACACACTTCCCACAGTAATAGAGAAGACTATTTCAAACAATAAAAACAGAGCAAACATAGCCCATTGTACAAGTTAAATAATATATAAACTTTTGAATACATAGAGAAATGGGAATCTGGCTCATATCTGGTCTTTGAAAGACTCACAGGAAATTGATTTAATTAAACCTCAGCTATTGGTGCAAATGTTTCCCTTTCTTCCCAAAGAGAAATAAAGTATTATATTGTTGTTGACATAATGCATCAAAGCTTAACCAAGATTCTTGGTCTTCTCCTACAAAGCTCCACAAACTAGCAAGACTGAAAATTACTACTGAAATACACAGCAATCATACATTCCTGAATTGTTACCTACGTGTACTACCAAAGATTCCCACTTGTAACTTATCTTATTCATGGAGAAATTCATTAATATGCTAATTACCTGACTAGCATCCACTGATGACTGACTACTTTGGCACTACATGAAGAAGACATGACAATAAGTAGATTTTCTGCTGGAGTTCAAACAGAGAAGATACTCTGCTTGCAGTAGTTCGTATTTGGAAAGAGACTTGTATTTGTGGAGGATCTCTAAGAACAGTCTTGCCATCTGCACCCAGAAATATATATTTTCTAATTAGCCACTCTAAAAACAATCATGTTGGCTGAAGGGAAGGGGGAGGGAGACTTGTCAAAATGATGCATTTGTCCCTCACCTCTTATGCAAGTCTAATTTTCTTCCTAGCTGGCTCACCTCTCTGGCCTCCTTTTGTTTCATGTTCCATTTCCCATTCTCTTCTAACTTCTGAACTTTTGTTAGTTCGCCTTTGAGGAGAAAAAGAAAAAAAAAAAAAAACCCAACCCTTTCCTATTCATTTTTTTCCTGGATGGGGAGTAAGCAGAGACATGAATATGGCACCCTCATAATGACTTAACTAGGGCTTAATGAAATTTTCATCACAACCTGCTGTTCATTTTAATGGCCTTTGAAAGACAATAGAACAATGGCTAGAGGGAAGAAAAGATTTTCTGTTGCATGCATTTGCAAAGCCCAACATTCAGTTGCTCCCCCTCCTTTCTCTCCTGATCTCTTCACAAAGCTGTAGATCTTTTGTTTGTACTGTATATTTTCATTTTAGTAGAGCTGAGAGAATGCACAGGCTCTGTAGCCATTCTCATGTCTATCTGTGGCCTTTCCTTAATGGAGTCTGGGCAGCTTGTACAACCTCATACTCAACAGAGTATTTATACATTGCCCAGAAACCCCTGTTCTTTCCTCTCCCTTATATAAAACTCCGGTCTCCTTCCCCCCAACCCCATACCACACACAGGAAAGGTCTTTTCCATTCAGAGGCACACGGTAGGTGACGGCACTGACCATTAAGTCAACGTAAATGCAAAATGAAACACTATGGTTAAACGTAACATTCAAAAAAATGCTTAGACAAAGAATTTGTTTCCCAGCAGACTCTTATTGTGCGCTCCAGTCAAGAACAGAAGACTAATTTACAATCATGTCATGCTCATGTATGCAACAGCATGGCTGTGTTTGTATCCATATTTTCATTCCAGTATGCAGGTTGTCCTAAAATTTTCTTGTAGGTGTTGTCAACTCATGCTTCAACACTGAGGCGGGCTCCGAGGGCCATGCTTTTAAACATTTGAAATAGATTTCTATCACAGGATAGGTGGGTGTAAATGAAAATGAAGTCTTATTACTGTCCATTAGGGAATAAGGCTCGGTATGGTCACACAACATCAACTGGCTCACAGCCTTCTAGAAAACCATCTGTAAATATGCATGCTGGATACCTATGGAGAATACACTGAGAACTTCATCTTCCAGTCAGGGGTGTGACTCTGCCTCAAATACCAAGGAATTGAGCATCTTAAAGGAAAGCTGCCCTGTGGCTCCTCAGAGGCGAGACGTTCAGTCAGTCTCTGCCCACAAAGCACAAGTGGCATTGTCATTGACAGGACACACATTCTCAAAAAGAAACTGATTCTCCAGAGATGATACTTATATGCCAAGTTTGAAACTTCCTGGCCAGACATAATGCAGATAAAGCCTGTACCGTGTCTGTTTGTATAGTACCTGCACTACAGATAAATAAGAGGATGACATGACAGGACATGCTCCTGACAAAAGCTTTCAAGAATTTAGAATTTAACTTCTTACCTTTCAAATAATGACATGCCTACTAGATAATTTCACAAAAGCATTAACATGGCTGGTAATACTGCTTTTTGCTCTAGAAATGGGGGAGGGGGGAGTCATGGTGTAAATGACCCCCAGGCTGTTAAAATTACAGTGTTTGTTGTATCCATGTTGAGGAGGTTGCTGTGTCTATTGCAACTGTGACACAAAGACTGTTATGTCGGACAAAGGCTCTCATTTGGGAAAAGCTAAAAATGTTGGCTATGATGGGATATTGCTGAAATTTATCTCTAATGTAGACAAGAACTATGAGTTCTTTACTGCAATTTTGCGAGCAAGAAAAAGCAAATGGAGCAGAAAATGGGAAGATTAAAAAGTATACGTATCCAAAGAATCTGGAGAAAAGAAAACAGAACAGAAAATTTTGGCCAGTTTCCCAGGCCTTACCTTCTGGCTCATTTTTGATGAGCTCTTCCATTTTTCTTTGCTTAAGGGTGTCTACAACATCCGCCAGGCTCCCTTTGCGCCTTTCAGGCGTTCCCAGGGCTGTGCTGGACAATGATTCTCCACTCTGACGCCCACCTTCTTCTGCCTTCAAGGGTGAGGTAGATGAGTTGTGCGGGGCAAATGAAGACATCACTTTATTGCCATCAACTTCCTAAAAGGGGAGAAAAACAAGATGAAACATTTCTTTCTTTTCTTAAAGAAAAAAAAAAAGATGGAAAGAAAGAACAATCCTTTGTTCTCTGAGTTCATTGCTGTTTGTTCTTCTGTCGAAACCTTTAAAAACGCATGCAATGCTTCAAAAGCACCCAGAACAAAGCCTATCCATAAAGCATAAACCAAGATTACAGGCTGAAGTGAACAAAGATCAGCTTGCAAGAGAGAAAAATAAAATACAGTTTTTCCCTAATTGAGAAGAAGTGCTGCACTCATGAGTTTCCTAATAACAATGGTATTGATTACCTTTAATTGTTTGTTCTTTTACAGCTTTCTTTCGAGAAAGTCTTCAATTTTTACAAGGACCATTAATTTCCTGACTTTATAAAGTACTTAATGCCTTGATGGCTAGTTGTTGTAAGAAATGGAATAGTAACCAAATATTAAATGCCCTTCGCCATAGGACTTATTTTAACTCACAGTTCAAGTAGTTCTCCCGTCTGTAAAGGACAAAGCAGTTGTTTTCTGTTTTCTAATTCTCTTTCTATTCTCCTCTTCCATCTCATACCGTCATTTCTTGAAGAGACAGTATTTTTCACAAAGGTGGTCCCCTAATGACTTTCACTGGTGGCACGACGGCAAAACTCCGTGACTTCCGGGAACATACACACAACCCTCCGCACATGAGAGTCCACAGAGGTCTACTCATTAATTTTAATGGAAACCAAAACTGGTTCCAGCATCTTCAAATTTGCCTTCATTAATGTGAGAGCCTTCTCCTCCACGCCTCCTCCAACATAAAGCAATGTTCTCTGCATATATTCCTTTCCTCTTTTATGGCTCTTTTATACCCTACCCTTCTGTACACATCTCTGAAACCCTTTTTTTTTCCCTCTGCTAAGATATGCCATCTATACCTTGCGAAACTTAGGTCAATGTTTCTGAACAAAGCTTGCTGCAGAGTACGTAGACTGCATAATGTAATGCTGCAAACATGACCAGTTTTTATTTTGATCAGATTTTCCAGAGGTTTTTTTTTCTTTTTCATTATCCTATTTCCTTATATTTTTGTATTCCAAGTGTTTAATGAATATTATTTCTAAAAAAGTCACTAGATCACCTTGTGATCTGAGTTACGTACTTGGTTGGAAAAGTCTTAATGATTTTTGAATTGTTTTCATTTTATAGGGTATGAAAACGACACATCATTTTTAGCTATACGTGTTACAATTTTATCATTTGTTTCCTACGTAATTTTTGATGTGTCTGGTTTAATAAATGCCAATATTTCAGGGGTAAAAAAGTGTCTTTTCATAATTAGAACATAAATTGCTAAAAATTATCTCAATAAAATTTGAATGAAGCAACACAAAAATTATGAAGTAAAGAATGCATTTGTTTTCACAGACTACCTCATTTTGGCAAAAAAATTACCTTTGGTTAAGAAAACTTCTAGTGCAAACAGTTTTGAGCAGCTTGAATGTGTTATACTAGTGAATAAATTCCCTAACAGAATCGGATTTAACTGAGATTACAATCTGGGCCATCATATGCCCCAAAAGCCAAACCCAGTGATGTTAATGAGAGACTTTCTACTGACGTCAATGAGCTTTTGACCAAGCCCTAAAAAAATTTCTGACTCTAGTTAACAGAAATGCTCCTCTTTTTTTCTTGCAACTCTCTCCATTTTTGTTCTGCACTTAGAAAATTACTAGTTGCTAACAGTGGACTTAAAAAATGAGTTGGAGTAATTTTTTTTCACATAAACAGACCTGAATAAACTGGTTTTTAACACTGATCTAGATGAGCAAAATAGTTAACTTCAGCATCAGTTCAAATTACATCTAACATTCAAACACATTATCACCAAGTGGCAATTTTTCTCCTACAGACAAGGCCAAACAGAGGAAATATCTTGAAAGCAGCTTTCTTATTCACACTTTGAAGACAGATAAGCCAAATACCATCCTTAGTTACAGTTCTTAAATCCACCTATACCATGTATAGGAACAGTATCGTTCCTGATTTCACCAGGAATTAGTTTCTGGTTTACATTCTAAAGTGGGCCCCAAAGACACTGACTTGTGTTTCTGTGTACGTTATGCATTGGTTACAGACACAAAGTATTTGCCACAGCTGCCTAAACCTCAGGAATCACCACTGTTGTTTCCACGTACATCTTGGGTACAGGCAAGTGTTTTTATAAGTACAAATAAGAGCACAAGATTTAATCATATGTAAGGTAATACAAGGTGATTTTCAAAATCACCAATTGCTTGGCATTCAAATGGAACCCACAAGTATTTTCAAAACTACTAAAATTTCCCTGCCTCTCTTTCTGGTGAAAGGAGAGGACAAGGAAGTAGTTTGTGAGGGGAAGAGGACAAGAGAGTAGTTTGTGGGTAAAGCATCAAGAAAAGGCTCTAGATACTCAGTTTCTAGTTCTTTTAAAGGTTCTGTGTAACCATGGAAAAAGTCAGTTCTGTTTCTGCATTTCAGTTTCCCACGTGTGAAACAGGCACAAAAGAAGCAATTTTTTACATTGTAAAGGTCTCGGAATGATAAACTCATTAACAACACAGAAACACCCTGATACTACAATGTTGGCTAAAAGAATTCATATAGTACCACAGTTAAGACTTCATAGCTGGACAAAAAAAAGGACTAGGAAGTGTTCTACACAGATTATTTTAAAAGATAAATACTATATTAAAGTATACATCTAAGTAACCACCCCCAAAACAAAATGTTTCCTTAGACTGCTCTTGTTAGGTGTGCATGTACGCACTGTTTGCATATCACATACGGGGGCTATTTATACACTTGTGGGGTTTAAGATACACTCCACTTAATCAAAACACATATACAGTAGGGGAACAGCTGCAATCACATCTCAGTGGGCTAAATTACAGTACACCAGTGAATTATTCATTCAAAAAGATCTGTAGCAATCACACATTCACTGCGTGATTTGCAATCTAAGAAGAATCCTCTCCTTTCCACACCAGCGGATGAGGGCACGGATCAGCTACTGCTGTTGACGAGAGTTCAACACGTATCCTCCAGCACACCAGCTCGAGAATCTCTCTTCCCCACTTGTCCATGATCTTTTTATTCTGTCATTCAGACAAACAACCTGAAATGCTCAACTGTTATCTTGGCTTTCGCTTTATGCCCCTCTGGTTTATTTTGCTCTTTCTTACGCCATTACTGAGGAAAGTGAAAAAAAACTTTCAATGCTTCTGGATTTTCACTTTTACCACGTAAAAAGGAAGGATACTTCCACATAAAACCTACTCATGTCCATGGCTGTATAAAGCTAAAAAACTTCTTGCAAGGAAAATCCTCTGATATTACATACGAAAGTTTAACTATCCCCCTGAAAACACTCAGAGAAATCCTTAATGGCAAGAAAGGTATGTCAGCAACAGTTTAAAATTAATCCCCTGAGAAGGAAGCTCTCTCCCAACAAGTGAGATTTAGCAGGTTCCTTTTCTGAAGGGACAAATTCACATTACTTTTTCAGTTAACTGAGAGAAAAGCAACAACACTGTAAAGAGGGCTACTAAAGAACCTAAATATCTACTTCTGACATTTTAAAGTGAAGTCCAACAAGCCATGCACAAGACCTATCTCTCAGTCACCAAAATAGTGGAAAAACAGACACTCCTTCACCGGAGAACAGTCTCTCTCAGCTGCGCAACCAGTTCACCTGTTCAAGTTTGATTACATTCCAGCCTCTGGCACTGTTAATCCTGGTAACAGTTCTGTGCAGTTAGCAGCTGCTTCATGGATGGGGCTCTATTCTTCATTTGCATTGCGAATCGCTCTACTAATGTGTGCTGGCACAACATTTCATCGAACTCTGAGCTGGGATTGTACTCACCAACACCTGATGCTGATGCTTCTTGCTTTTCCCACTTCAGAAAGGCAGACAAGGACCTACACAGATCCCACTGAAACAAACACTCTAGGCCCTTCTTTCCGTCCCAACAACAGCAACAACAACAACAAAAAAAAAAGGACTGGCCCACGTTTTGCGTCTTCTGCTTCTGCCCGAAGATAGAATCCACAGGAAGACTTGTTCATTTACAAGTAAGCTGCCTCTATATTGCCAAACAGCTTTCCACCTATGGAGGAAATATCTCTTCCAAGGTTTAATGATAAAACAGGCTTCTGCCCTTTCAGGATGAGGTCAATAATCTTCCTTTGTTAATCTTGGGCAAGCTTTACTTAATCTAGCCCCCTTGTCACCTTTGTGATTGACAGGAAAAGTCATGTCACTGGACAATGGACTTATCCTCCCTGAGCAATACCTTTTTTAAAGATTACACAATGTTACCCTTGCTCTCATAAAAAGTGCAAACATTTTGCAGTTAAAAGAAACTATTCATTCCAACTGTATCTTTCAAATTGTCTCTCTTCATTTCCAGGGTCCAGCTGAGGACTATTTAAGTTTCACAAAGGGACAGTGAAACACTTAATGAAAAGAAACAGGTTGTACTTGGCAAGATTTCCAAAATATCTCTCAATGTTCTAAATATGTCTCATCTTCTCCTTCCTCATCTAGAGAAGCACATGACCCCTATCTGCAATTAAACTCAAGAAAGAAAACTATGTTTCCGTGACATTAAAATTTTGTCCCAAACAAACCAATAATCGAAGCAGAAGAAAACTCAGAACTAAGTCTGAAACTGTTAATTGCCACCATATGGAATACAAGGAGGATGCATCTGTAGCAAAAAAAAAATTATTATGAGACTCAAGCTTCTGGCTTTGCAGCCAACAACACCTGGATTAAAAAACTTGTGTCTTTAAAACAAGCACTGATATTGTCAGATTTGAAGAAGCCTGTGATCCTAAAAGCAACCTAACAGCTTCTGTTTCCAAAGCTGGAATTTTGCTGATACTTTGCTCTTTTAGAGTGTGTAAAGAAGACATGAAAGCAAATTTTTTGCTCTGCTTTCTACTTCACACAGGTAGGCCTATCCATTTTAT